TTTTCTTTGAATCTAGCTCCGAAGAATTTCAATAGAAGTCAAAAATAGAATGTACTAGCTGATTTTTTTTTCTTTTTTTATTGATAAACTAATACTCATAGTGCACGAGCAAGGGTCGTCGATTTGGGCTAAACTAAGAACGATTTCAGTTAAAGACAAAGCGAGTTTTTCAAGAGACTGTATCATAACTTGTTGTGATAACTTGATATTTGTTCCAACTGTGATGTGGGTGAATCGAACTGTGTTCATCAATAGAAGACGTTTATTAACATCTATATTTCTGAGACGCTTTGTTTAGAACGTTATTTTTTGTATCTGTGATTTTTGTGTATAAATGCTTTTACATCTCAATCAATTATATCCATTCAATGTTCGATGCTATTTTACTATCATAATTATATGATCTGTTCAAAATCAAAAACAGCTGATGGCATTCATAGTAGCAATTATGTCTGACGAACTCTATAAATTACACTCAATTAAGAATAAAAAAAAAGCACTACTATATTTTAGCGCGCTCTACAAATTACAGCTCGATAAGTTGAAATAGTGAAACTCAACATCTAGTGAAATCTATAAATTGCAGTAATTACAAAGAAAAGAAAAGACGTACTATTGTAGTTTAGCGTACTCTACAAATTGCAGATCGTTAAATTGAAATAATGAAACTCAATCTTTAGCGAACCCTATAAATTTCAGCAAGTTTAAAAATATAACTGAAATTTTAATTTGTTTTAAAATTCATATCAGTAGATGTTTTTTGAAATTTGAAAACCGAAAATTTTAGACTTAAGATTATTTCAAATTTGAATAAATTAAATTTAAAAAACAACTGAAATTGAATTTTACAGATTTTTTTATTTCAATTTTATGTTCGCAAATGAGAGGATACGAAATAAGCATGCAAAAAGGCGATCATTGATCAAAGCAATGTCTTATGATGTGGTATGATACCAGAAAAGTTTGCACTTGCCAATGGACAACCGTCGCCAGTGATTCCACCAGTTCCCCACCATGTTGGAAAGTTTATATTATTGTTTTTCAGGGTGAAAAAGATAATGAGTGCAGACACAACCACACCACAGTCCATTGCTGCTGAAAATACAAACGCGTACCTTTTCCACCATGCATGGGCATAACGAAAAAGTACAAAATTGAATAGAAATCCAACAATAAGCCATGGTGGGTATTCGCCAGGTGGTGCTGGTGGTATGATACTAAGGCCTGCAAGAATGACCGGAAAATGCACGTATTGAAGCCATGTAACTTCTGGATACTTTTTGCGCAGGAGCCAAGCAGGTACTGGTAAGAGTGTACCGATCAGAAAACCGAACAAAAGCGGCTGATAGATCGATTTGGGACCGAGCATTTTTAGTGGACCTAGCATCAAAAGTGAGAAATCAAAGTTTCACTTATTGTCATCGAAATCTCAATAGAGATTGCTGAATGAATGAAACCCTCTTGAAACAATTCTATCATATGTTCATTAGAAAAATTTCAAAGACACGCAATATGTTTATTTTGCTATTTCAAGGAATTCACCAGTTGATAACCAGTTCACTCAAGCAAGCAACCTATTATTAAAATCGTAAAGTTTGTCGTGTACATGCAAACATAAGTATCATGAGGTAATATAGAATTGCCTTCGCAATACTTTCCTTATGCCTTGCGTTGCATGTATGAAGTCCCTTCTCTTTCGTACATCACAAAAATGCACGTACTATACTACTAGCCAAAAGTGGTACTACTAGGTAGACCCAATCATAATGTCAAACATTCAAGCTTAAATATATATCAACAATAAAACTAAGCTAACACTCAAAAAAAAAACAAGTATGTTACCAAACCTATATTCAGAGGAAGAACTTTCGAGATTTCGTAGGAACCTAACGACCATAAAAATTCTCTCTCAGGCTTTGTCGAATGCTTTTTAGGTTCGGTAGAACTGTAAGAAGCTCTGAAAGTTCTTGATCTGAACAGAGATTCGATGTAATATACCTTTTGATTTAAAGTGAACCGTGGTTTTAGAGAGTAATCTCCCATTCAACCTCTATATAACAGTATCTTTGCCACTCGAACGCTTTATCTTCGGTATCATTCATCATTTGATAGCTGTCTTCGCATTCTCTAGTGAAATATGAGTTCCGAACGGTGTTCGATATTACTGAATGTTATATCTCTTTATCAGAACCTCATACTACTGGATATCATAGATTTTTCATGATATACTCGTTATATATTATATTGGCACATAAATTCTGAGCATTTGGATTAGTAGAATTATATCGCTAATATAAAACTACATTTTAAGGCAAGTAATTATATATTCTGACAGAACTCGGAATTCTCTATCACCTTGTGTATTTAAGTCTTGACTTGCATTTATTTGCTGAAAACATATTTTGAATACAGTGAAGACACCCTCACCCTCAGATTCCCGCGAACTTCATTTTTTGTTCCTTTCTCATGTGTTTGTAAAATTTGTATCTCTACAGTAATCCGGCTTTTTAGAAAAGTAATTATATATTGTGAGAGCTCTTGAAATGCTCTATCGCCCTGTATATTCAGGTCTGACTTGAACTTATTTGCTGAAAAATATTTCGAACACTGTCAATACGAATGGGGGTGTCTTCACTGTATTCAAGATATTTTTTCAGCAAATAAATGCAAGTCAAGACTTAAATACACAAGATGATAGAGAATTCCGAGTTCTATCAGAATATATCGTTACTTTCCTTAAGATGTAGTTTTATATTAGCGATATAATTCTACTGATCCAAACGCTCAGAACTTATGCGCCGATATAATAGATTATTTACATTTGTTGATTTTGTGAAACTAATGACAAATGGTCAATAGTAAAGATGTATTTGCTTCAAATTTGACAACGATAAATGATAAATGAACAGAATTTTTGCCAGAAAGTAAACCTGGATAATGTACAATTCACTGCGTCTCTAAATATTAGCGCGTTTAATGTCTCTTATAATAGGATTGTAAGACATTGGGATAACATCTGATCGCATTTTGATAACAAATTTTTACTTAAACATCAAAATAATGTTAAATATTGACATGCATCAATCA